ACACGATGCACAGCAACACACAGCTCTTATTTATTTAGAATGGCACCCCAATGCCCAAGTACAGTAGGTGCCAAATCAAACACAGCATTGCATTCCCCAACCTTGCCTGTCTTTCAAGTACATATAGTGCATGTATATACAGGGAGTGGACAACTAACAGAACATCACAGTAATCAGCTATAAGAGATGTTTGAATTAGCATTTGATTATGTATTTTTTAAAGAAACATGGCAAAGCTAACAAAATTCCAAGGAGGCCACATAGTATGGCATAGAGCTCTCATCAGCCTGAATTAGGCATATACTAGATTTTCTTTCCATCTTGCTATTCCTCTGTTATTGATGTAATTTGATGTAGAAGAGTTTTCAGGCAATCAAACTGCATTCTGCACATCTATAACTTCAGTACAGTTCAACCATGATGCACCTAGTATTTATCTTTGATGGACAATGATCATTGGAAATCCTGACTAGCTATTCTACTTGTTCATCTTCTTGCTCAGTCAATTGCCACGTGTTGGGATTTTTTTCATATTTGTTATAGTATAATCAAACCAGCAGACTCCTTGCTACCTTTATGGGAACTTAATGGTGTTCAGAGGCTGTTAGAATCAGTTTTGTAGTAATACTTGTCTACTTGTAGCTGATGGGCTATGGGTAGGCTGTTTATCTTAAAGCGATTCTGTAACTAATTTAACAAATGAAAAAACACCCAGTAAAAGAAGACAACTTCTGGGTGTGACAGATACCTGTTCCCCAATTGCAATGAGGTGGTTTTGCCTGCTGCCCACTACACCACTAGTAAGTCCTAGGGACACTGTAGCCAACAGGTGTAAACAAATTGCACATGACAGGCAATGCAGGCATCTGACAAACCAGGAAGTGTGTTGTATGTTCCAGACTGTGCCAGTGGCTTTGCACTGCAACAGAGTAAATATAAATATTTCAGGAATGGGCAGAAGGACAGAAAAGTATAGTCTTCTTTTGCAAATTCACATATACAATATATATATATATATATATGGAGATAATAGCAAATTCTATTTTCTCTGTACCCAGAGGAACCTCCAGGGTTTGTGTAAAATTCCAAGAAAGTACATTTTACAGCTTGTGAGGAATAATCCAAATCCCCAGCAATAAAAGTGCTTTTTCTGAGTGCCTTCCAATAGTTTGTATATACATGCTTCCTGTTGGAAAGTGGGGTAGTTCTCCACGTTGGGAGCTTCAGTATACTTTCCCTTCAGCTGCCAAGGTTTTTTTTTTACAAAGTTAATAGTTTTTGTGTATGATAATGGTGTATAAAAATAGGCTGCATAAATGTGCCCCTGGGAAGCACTTTGGAAAGTTCCCATCTTTCAGTGTGTTGAACGGAGTCATCAACTTGCTTCCAAAAGGTATGTATGCTTTGTAGATGCATTCTCCATGAACCAAAGGGTCCTTTAATCACAAGGAGCCCATTCTACACACCTTGCAAAGAGGGGTCCTGTTGGAGAGACAGAGGGGGAATGCTCAGAAAAACCTCTTAGTAAATATTCTATACGACCCAGCAAATGGATGAGGTCATAAGTTGAGTGAAGAGGCAAAGATCAATCCTAGACGTATGGAGGCCCTCCAAATGACAGGAGAAGGCTAGTTCATCTGGATGGCTCCATCTCCAAACGCCTACCATAGTACTTTTTAGAACCCCATTATTGAGACAGGAGACTCCCCTGGGCTTTTATTATATTTTAAACAGTGACAGGGTCTCTTTAAAGCTTTAAATAAACTTAATTTCAGTTTCCACCAATAACTGTCTTCAAAAAAAAAACTAAATCCCCATAATTTATAATGCCAATGTTGTTCAAATCTGTTAATATACATTTTCTTTAGTTTTTGAGACAAAATGTTTTCTGGCAGTGCTAGGCTAAGATGCAAATGAACTAATCTGGGAAACCAGACACTCAGAATAATGTGTTGTTTATGTTGTTTTAAAATCTTTGAGAATAAAAAGTAGTTGTGCTGTTTTCTGTGTCCACCCCACTATTATATAATAAATCACACACTAGTAGCAAGTTACAGAAAGTAAACCACATGCAGTATTTCTACAGTCATGCCTTATATGCTAATTGTATCTCCATTTGTTTTTCAGATCACTTAAAGTGTATGTAAACTCAAAACCCAAAAATTTAATCTGTTGTAGTTTATTAGTCCCTAGATGTGGTGGCCGCATAGCTTTTCTTTTTTAGGCTTTGTTTTCTTTATTTTCATCCAGTGATCCTAGACAGTAGCACACTTGCTGTCCTAGGATGATAACACCTAATCACAGTACTGTAGCAACGTTGTCACCCTAGGCTGCTCTTTTAGTTTCTACAAATAAACACCTCTTCTTGTTCTCTTTTCTTCTCTATTACATATTGGGAGGGGATTGTGTAGTTTACAGAAGATAGCTGGGAAAGCTAATTACATTCTTTGAGGTTTTAGTTTAGTACACAAAAAGTCACAAGGAAACTGGATTTATTTCAGGATCAACCACTATTCTTCTGTACCTGCAGAAAATGTTCTTAGCCTTAAAAAAGAAAACTAATGCAGGCACTACATCTAAAGACTGGTAAGCTGCAAAATATTATATTTTTTGTATTTGATACCTTTAGGTTTTATCACAGACAGGTTAAGATCTATTGTCGCTTGGTGGCTGGAGGCTCTCCTCATACTTAAACCCACTGTTTGCTGTAACTTAGCCCCACCAGCAAGGCCCATCCCTTGGCCATCATAGGTGATTATAGGTGTGCTTGGAAAGTTTTGAGACCTGAGTCCTATCTGTGGCGGCGCTCTTCCGGATGTTTTGAGGGGGGGGGGGGGTTTGGGAAGTTTATCTTAACAGAAAGTGTTGTTGGGTTATGGGGTATGCGGAGGGGTGTGCTGCTTTAGTTTTGGGTGTGGACCGGTGTGTCCAACTATGGAAGACAGAGCAGACAAAACAAAAAGGCGAAGTCTAAAGCGCTACTACCCTTGGGAACAGGGTGTAGGGGGGTGTTCAGGCCTGGAGGGCTTGAAGAATGGAGGTTTGTGTATTATCAAATACTCCGCTCGGTGTTAGAGGCGAGAGGGAGCGAGAGGTGACAGATGAGGCATATGTGATAGTGCCAAGTAAAAAGAGTGTAGTAACTCACCATGAGGTTTGCGTTGGTGTGTAGTCATCGACGTCAGGGTCTGGCGGCAGATTTAAAAACGAACGGGTGGGGGCGTGGTTATGATGCCTTGGTGGGGGGTGTGTCCAATGGTGTGACGGAACTGCTGGGCGTGGGTGAATCAGTAAAGGACAGGCATGTGTGTACAAGATGGATTGAATATTAACATGTTGGGGTGCTGATTTACAGTTAAATATTGGAGAGAGGTGTAGTCTCATTAAATTATGGTGCTGATCTCGAGTTCCTCATTGAGGCCGTGGGGAGAGAGTGTGTTGAGTTTATATATCCAATATGCTTCCTGTTTACATAGTTCATGAAATCTCTCTGCGGGTAAGCGATCTGGGATTTGCTCGATCACAAAGACTTGTAGGAATTTGATGTTTTTTTTATGCTTTTGAAGGAAGTGACGTGGAACGCTATGTTCTGTATTTCCTTTCTCAATGAATCTCCTATGCGTTTGCGTAAGGGGCGGATGGTACGGCCTATGTAGAGGAGGTTACAAGGGCATCTTAGGCCGTAGACGACATAGTTGTGGGCGCAAGTAATGAACTGATTTATGGGAAATGCGTTCCCAGAGCTATCCGTAAACAAGGTTTGGCCATGGGTGATAAATTGGCAAGTTAAACAGAGTAGTTTTTTGCATTGATGTACTCCTGTTCTGTATTTGAAGAAGAAGGTTTTCGTTTTGTTTTTCTTAGTGGAGAGTTTGCTGGGCGCCACTATGTTTTTGATGCTTTTAGCTTTCTTAAAAACTACCGTGGGCTTGGGTGGGAGTATAGGGCATAGTTTTGGGTCACATTGGAGTAAGTGCCAATTCTTTCTCAGAATGGACTCAATGGCTTTGAATTTGTTATTAAAAGGTGTGATGAACCTTATCGCACTGTCCTGTGTTTGTTGTTTGTTTTTGTTTTTACTATTGGGTGCAGTGTTTTCTGTTAGGAAGAATTCTTGGGCCCTGTTGATGAGTTTTTCGGGGTAACCCTTTTCTAGAATTTGTTTTTCAGATGGATACTTTGTTTGCGGTAATCTACCTTTCGGGTGCAATTCTTATTTAGCCTCCAGAACTGTCCTTTTGGGACATTTTGTTTCCATCGAGGGTGGTGACAGCTGTCATAGTGTAGATATGAGTTGCCGGCAGTAGGTTTGAAATGTGTGGTGGTGGTGATGGTCTTGTCTCTGTGTGTGAGCTCAAGATCCAGAAAGGTGAGTTTATGGTCATCAAGGACATGGGTGAACTTGAGGCCAAAGGGGTTTGAGTTGCAGTGTGTTGCAAACTCAGAGATGGTGTCTGTTGGGCCGTCCCATATGATGATAATGTCATCTATGTAGCAGCCGTAGTAAGTTAGATGCTTTGAGTAGGGGTTGTTTTGCCAGATATGGAAGTGCTCCCAGTAGCCCATGGTTAAGTTTGCGTAACTGGGAGCATAGTTTGCTACCATGGCAGTGCCCTGGATTTGTAGGTGAAATGTCTCGAGAAATGAGAAATAATTATGTTCAAGTGGGAACTTGGTAAGTTTACAATGAGCTGAGCTTGTTTATAATGGAGTGCTGGCTGCTGTGCCAGGTAGTGTTGTAGGGCTTCTAGGCCTACCTCGTGTGGTATGGATGTGTAGAGGGAACACAAAAGTACAAACACACCCGCACATATGCAGTATGTGTATATGTGTGTATATATATATATATATATATATATATATA